CTTTATCTAGATATAAAAACATTGCTTATCGTAAGAAAGAAAAGAAACTTATTCTCACCCACGAACAATGCTTTTGTTTAGATAGCTATAAGCATCTAAAGATTTGTCAATTCATGTATGATGAAATCTCTAATAGAATAACTATTTTTATATAAAGATACTTCAAGTTCGACTAGTACTGGTCCTGTAAGGTGTTATATATAAGCATTGGTCAAAAAGCAACCATAGTAAGTGGTGAACAACATGAGGTCCAATAACCATTCCCAATAATATGAAATTCGTCAGCAAAAATCAAATATTGCTTTCCGATGTTATTTTAAGACGATACATGATGAGAGCTAGATGTTTATCAATAGTAGAGATGTGACTAAAAAGGAATAATGGAAAAATATTTTGTAATAATCACAAATACATGATATGTTATTTTATTTTTCTGTATATCATATCCTACACACTAACAATATTTTGTTTACATGTACAATATTTCGCATTTCTTGAGAAAAAGTTACAAACAAATCTGGAACAAGTTTATCCATAGAACCATAAAAATAGATATTCGGAATCCATTGACTGACGAATAGGTTTTTTCTAATGTAACGTCTTCTATCGTAAAATACATTTTTCTTCTTCTGGAATGTTTTGTCTTATTCAAAATCTTTCATCTTTAAAATATTGAAGATGATTTTCGGTTCAAAGACAATAATTCCACATTGTAACTTATTTTACAATGTGTTGTAGCATTTTTTAAAGAGCTCAGCAAGTTTTATTTCACAATAGCTTAAAAATTATATCTTGACATATAGTTTGTTCTATTGAAATCTCGAGTATAAAATAGATGTCAACGAATGCACTTAAAGACAAGAAAGAGAAGAATCTCTCTTTTAAGCGTATATCGAAAACTGAGTCCAAGAGTCATCAATTCGAATTTTAAAGAAATAAACTCAGCTCGACTTTTGCTACGGTCGAAAAGAATTGGTGTGAGTGTGGGTGGGTGTGGGTGTGGGGTGTGGAATGTGGATGGCAGGGTGTGGGTGTGGGGTGTGGAATGTGGATGGCTGGGTGTGGGTGGTTGGGTGTGGGTGTGAGTTATGAGCAAAGAAGACCTTCATACCCACCCACACCCACACCCACACCCACACCCACACCCACCCACACCCCACACCCACACCCACACCCTTAAAAATAACTAGAGATACAGCTTTTTCGATATCAAGACCATGTAAACCAAGTTTATATAAATTAGGATAATTTGAAGCAAGAAGAATACGATTCATAGATGTTGATTCAAGATCAAGACATTTGATTTTATGATGAATTTCAGGTAAAATTTGTAAACAAAATCGATCAAGTATTAGAGCAGGCAATGGATAGGTAAAATCATTCAAAAAACAAATTAATTTTAAATGACTTGTAAAAATTGAATCGCGTCCTATTGGATTCTGCCGTCTATTTACACGTATTAAAGAATAGAGTTCGTCGATGTTAGACAATTTTTCCAAAATAATTGTAAGAATTTCATCTGGTAAATCATTTATTTTAATGGATAGATGTTTCATATTTATCTATGCCTTAGTGTATTTTTTTGTATCTTCTAGATATGAATATATATACATGTTAGCGTCCAATGTCAGATTCAGTCCAATCTCGAATTGACCTAGGTCAATCTTAATTGTTTATATTGGACTAGTCCAATGTCGGATCGGTGCAATGCTTTTTGTTAAAACAAAAATTAATCTTTCGATAGATGTTAGATTCGAATTCTTTACAGGAACTATGCTGAGATAATGCCATTTCAGGGGACATCATTGTCGCTGGAGAAATTAAAAAAGAGTTTGTGAAGTTATAAATAATTTTTTACAGAACAACAGCTTTTATGAGAAACTGTCATTAAGTTTTTGAGTCTGAACTTAGCTTTTTCAGAGATGATTGCAGCACTTAAAAAAACATTGTCTCAACACAAATCCAAAAAAGAATTGCGCCTATCCGAGATTGGACGCTAACATATATAAACATGTCCATTTCGTTTATTTGACCGATATCATCAATAATTGCCAATGAGAATAATAATAGGATGTGGGTGTTGGTCAATGAAAGTCCTAGACCCAAACTCACACCTACATCCACATCTACACCTTCATAATGAGCAACATGCAAAAGCTGTTCTGTGAAACTCATAGAATAAAATTCCTGTGTGTATGCTGAATAGCACACTCAATGCTATACGGATTATAAAAAATAAAACGTTTGATTTTATTTTTAATTAAATCTAGATAAAAAAGTAAATCAACATGCATTAACAAGAAAATTTCAATAAAATCAAAATCAAGTCTAGCGATAATTGAATATCGATCGGATTTCATTGCTCAATTTCAAAAGATTCTATCAGTGATATCGATTTATTTGGTAGGTTACCACTTCAGAAATATTTTCTAAAAACAAAAATAATATATTTACAGTACATTTTAGATTTTAACAACTTTTCCATTTGACTCTTTTAAAAATAAAAATGAGGAATAAATAATTGAGTGAAAATTGTCAATGAATCAATAGCAATTTATTATCAGTTACTACACGAAGCTTTTACATATTCATGATAAATATTATCTTTCATCTCTTTTTATCTTAGCGAGCATAAACATTTTTCATTCCTTTCTCTAGTTATTTAATTTATTTCGTTAGAACATTTTTCTACATATTTGATTCTCATGTAAGTCAACTTTACAAAGCCTCAGTTAGGGTGTGGGTGTAGGTATGGGCGCGTGGATGTGGATGTGGTAAGGATGTGGTCGGTGTGGGTATACGTGTGCGGTGAACGTAGGTGTTTCTATCGATCTGGATGTGGGTGAGGGTGTAGATATGGAACGTAGGTCTGGATCATGATTTCTCCTTCACTCACATTCCCATCCATACCCACACCCACACCCGTCACTTATTTTTGTAAGTGTCTTGTACGCTGTGCAAATATTGTTACTGCTATGCGTTTCATATTATAGAGTGGTTCACTGTTTTTTTGAATGACTCAAGAACACAATAACCTAACAACTCACTGTTTTTACTAATCAATAGAGGACTTCAGGAGACATAACTTTATAAAAAAAACTAATAATCGATCTAACTTTGAGGGGGTGCGTGGGTGTGGAATAAGAGAACACCCACACCCACACCCACACCAACGCCCACACACCCACACCCACACCCACACCCACACCAACGCCCACACACCCACATCCACACTCACACCCACACACCCTACATTTATTATCTAATACTGTGAGACAAAAACAGACTTAAACAAATAAACAATTATTCGTTAATTCGTACGACAGAATTTTTCTTTGTAGTTTGCAGGTAAGTCACATGTGGCCGAGAATGGAGCGATTGATCCTTGGTGACAATATTTTCTGTTTCCTGTAACCTCGATTTGAATAATAAATAAAACAATACATCTTGTCAACAGATTGAGACGAGTTTGAATACCAACTATATGAGTTGCATTGATATATTGTGCTTGAAGTCTATGTTCTAGTGGTGCTGTATCAAATGCCCATGACACTTTTTGACCTTCCTGCTGGATATAAGCAAAAACGTCCGAACCGACCAGATATGAACCAGTGATGTCAAAATAGGGCTGAAATACGGAACCATCGGTAAAAATATGATGCTGGTCAGATGAAATGTGGTCCAAGCAGGATAATGAATTAACATTCCCGCAAATATTAGATATTGAAGATGAAAGAGCTATAAAACAGAGCAACAAACGTGACGAAAATCTCCCATCATCACTTACGTGTTATCGGTGGACACATGATTGGAGTGGCCATGTCTATTGGGTAACACACTGGAACATTATTACATCGTGAATGATTCACACAGACGTGTCCAGCTTGATGACATGTTCGATTTGTATCAGCACACGAAACCAAATGAGTACAGGTGAGATGAAGATAGGCACACATGGCTTTATTATCCGCAGTCGCTAGAGGCAAGCAGCCACATGCGATGTTCGATGAACATTGATCGTACTGTGAGGCTCCTTGGCATGCCTTAGTTTCGGCTTTATCTATTTGATCAAAGGCATATGGAGAATTAGAAGTGCATAGGATACTAAGCGTACCGAACAAACTATGTAGAAACAAACACGATCCTATAAGGTAAATGATATTCTTAATGTTACTTGCCTCAATACAATTAACAACAATGCATACTTTGCTCTCATCGTTTTGATTTTTTTCTAATTTAACTACGATTATATATATATATATGATGGGACTCAAGCCATCTGCTAATCAGTCACAGACACTAAAGAAACGAATGGTGGTCGCTACTTGTTATTTATCCCTACACAGGGTGTGGGGTGTGGGTGTGGGTTGTGGGTGTGAGTGTGGGTGTGGGTGTGTGGGTGTGGCTGGGTGTGGATGTGGGTGTGTGGGTGTGGGGTGGGTGTGAGTGTGGATGTAGATGTTCGTGCAGGTCATAACAACATCGACACCCACACCCAGCCACACCCCACACCCACACCCC